TTTCACACAATTTCTGGGTGATCTTTCAGGAAAAGGCAGATAGGAAAGCCCTATTCATTTGCATATAATATAAAACAGATCAAATGGAGTAAAAAGGTAAATAACACTTAATTCTGCTCTATGTGCCCACAGAAATAAACCTTTTTTAATAGCCACAGGTTTTTCTCCTTTTTTCTGTCACTTTTAAAGGGCATCACTATTCACACATAACATCATGTGTGTAAATAACCTTATTAAAACCAGTTTATTTTTAAGCCAATGCTCTGGTTTGACCTTTTTATAAAGCCTTCAGAGCTGTGTAAGTCACTCTGGCCTGTTAAGCACCTACATACACATTTATCTGCAGAATTGGGGCCTGAGTGAAACTCTGCTGGTGGGGTAAGGACTAGAAATCAGTGAGATGGGCCAGATGGCAACGTGTGCCAAGGAGAAATAGCAATTCAGGGTGAGACTGTTGGTGTATAGTTTAAAATAAAATTAAGCATTGCCACTTCTCCCCTGTTTCTGTCCTGTTTGGTCGCTCAGTTGTGTGCTGCAGGTGGCTGAGGAGCAGGCACACGACCAAACCATGTCTCTGAAGGACATAATCTGATTTTGCATCTTTGCTTAGAACATCATACAACTTGGGCAACTAAGATCTTTAAAGTGCTTCAGCTCCATGTGAAAACACCCAAGAACCTGCAGAACTTGTAGAAGCTGATACTTTCACAAGGTTGTCAATTCCTCAGCCCCAAATAGGGATGAGCCTTCAAATATGTGGCTCTATATGCCTGGGAATGCCCAGCTGCCCTTTTCCTGAGTACATGCCCCAGTTTTGCCTGATTACAAGGAAAACATTCATTACAACCCTAAAAAAAAAGGGTGGTGTTCAGAAAAACAGAGTGAATGGACACTCCCAGACATCAGGCCAAGGAGAGCATCTTGAGGGGAAAAAAATGTCACTCAAACAAATATTGTTGGTTGAAGGAAACTACCAACCTCCCCTCCATCTGCTGGGTATGAAACTGCTTTTAGAAATGCAGGTGACCTGATGGATTTCCTGCTTTGTGCTTTTGGGGTGTTTTTACTATTTCCCCCATGAGTATCCCAAACCCAAATGTTTTCTATTTAGCACTTCAACAAGCAATGACGTGTGATTACCCCAATGCACAGGCTCAGAAACAAATGGATTGAGCTATTTCAGGAGATTTGGGTAGTGTGGAGAACCTGTAGAATGGTCAGAAATCCCACCTTAGTGATCTTTGATCCCATTACTTGAGACCAACCTGAGACAACAGTCACATTTGGGTCCATGGGACTATCTGACAACAGGCTGACAACCGAATATCAGAGAGGGGTGTTGAGTTGAACCCTCTGTGACTGAACTCTGTGTTTATTATCCACAGGGAATAATGCAGCTAAAAAAGAGTTCTTTAAAAGGGAAGGACTCTGGCAGGATTGCTTTGCACTGCATCTCACTCTCCAAGGAGCTTAACTTTAATGCAGAAGACTTTTCCAGCTCCTAAAATAAGATAAAGCTCAACAATAGGGGCACTGTGGAGAGTGTGCCCCAGGAGCCCAACGTGCATACCTCCCCACCAAGGGGTCTGGCTGGGGTGGAGTGACAGGGACCTGCTGTGAAGCCACTCGGGGAGGAGCTCACTCCCACTAATCCTGCACCTGCTCCTCAGAGCTCTCAGCTAAAAAAATCCTCCTGCGCAACGAGGGGCGGATGAAAACGTGGGGTCTTGCAGAAAGGCTCCCTGGTGCTCCTCCCGTTCTCTAAAGCTTCCCTTCCCAGGGAAATCTTCATGGCTGAGGGCTCTTGAATAAAGATTTCCCTCAGATTCAATCAGCTGCCCCTCGAGATAAACAGAAAACCCTTTTTCCTCCTCTTTCCTCTGTGTTTTAATGTAACTCCTCCGTCCATGGCAGGTCTCACCGTTACAAATGCATCACTCCCTGGCAAGAGGGGATTAAAATGCCTCTGCCCTGAAGATCACATGTGTTAGTGAAGCAGCAATATCAAGTTCAGGAGTTGTCTTCCCCTCAGTTGTCTTAAACCAACGGTACAACGTGTGGTACCTTAAATATCTGTTCAGAAAAGCAACAAATAAAATCTCAATTTCAGGTCAAAAGCTCCTTGGCCAGGAGGCACCTGCAGGTGAACTTTTCCTGGCAAAATGAGGAACATCAGTGGGTTTTCTTATGGAAAATGTGCTAATTGATGGAAGGGAGCTGAATAACTCCTATCTCAGCAGTCAGTTTGCCTAATTAATAACCTGCTAAGCACAAACTCCTCTCTCCCCTCTGCCCAGCAATCTTTGAAGACTTTAAGAAGAAAACCATGCAGCAGGGTATTATTATTGCTGGTTTTCTTTGTATTTTTGCCACCAATATACCAGGCAACCCACGGACTTAGAGTCAGGGCAACTTAGAGCCTGGGCAGAGAAAGGAGGACAGCCTGTGGAGAGGTGAGACAGGGGAAAGGAGCAAACTGGAGAGACTGGGGAGTGATATTTCTTCAGTGTCATTCTAGCAGAACATGGGTTTATAGAAATACCTGTTTTGACTCTGACAAGTTACCTGCCATGTGGCGAATGGTTTTCTTGCAGTATTCTTCAGCCATGGGCACGACCTTCATCATCTCCCTCCCCCACTGCACGAGGGGTTTCCCTTGGATGGCGTAGGCCACGAAGAGAGCCGTGCAGAGGGACCCCAGAAAGCCTGGAATTCAGAGAGAACAACAGCCACCCTCTGTGCTTGTTCCATCCTTGTTCTGTCCCTTGTAAAATCATTAGTGGAATGCCCCGTGGCTGCCGGGTAGGTTAACAAATGCATGTAACCCCCCCCTGCCTGTTTGCAGGCTGGCTGGTGGCACGCTGAGATTCTTGGCTCATGTGGTGCCTGTTAGCTCACAACTGATTTTACACAGAAGGGAGTTTGGGTCCTCGGGGGTGTAACGTGACAGAAATTGAGGTGGGGGTCAAAAATAAACCTAATCCGCCAGCGTGAGGCTGAAAATCTTCTAATTGAAGTCACATGAAATAATGGACTTGTGCACAGGGATTGAGTTACAGGCTGGATCACCTTGCCTACAGACCCATCCAGCCTCAGAGCTGGGCTCTTTAGGTCTCACACTATTCCTGGCTCCTTTTATCCTAAGGGGACGTGGACACATCTCACTTGGACAATTGTTTCTTTCTTCTAAAGGGACATGGGCTTGTTCCCTTAGAGGAAAGAAGCAATTGTCCAAGCAGCTAGGTCTTCCACTTCTGACAGGAGTCTACTCAAGATAAACTTTCTGTTAACAGGCACTCTACACTTCCAGAAGCAGAGGGACTCATTTTTCATATTTCCTTGTGCTCTTGGCTTTTGGTTAAAGGCATGGGCTTGTCCCCTTAGAGGGAAGAAGCAATTGTCCAAGCAGGACATGCTGTCTGCCTGCCCAGCTAGGTCTTCTACTTCTGACAGGAGTCTACTTAAGATAAACTTTCTGTTAACAGGCACTTCCAGAAGCAGAGGGACTCATTTTTCATATTTCCTTGTGCTCTTGGCTTTTGGTTAAAGGCAACAAAACCAACCCAGTGCAGCATGCAGAAGGTTAAGAAAACAACATAGTCATTTAAATAAGTGAGCAAAGTATTGATGCACGTGCTTCTTTTGTGCATGGATCCAAGAGCGCTCACTCATGCACAGAGGTAAGCCAGAACTTCATGTGTTTGCTGAAAGTAAAATCAAATTATTTTAGAAGCTTACAAGTCCAGATGAGACAATTACTCATTCTCTCTGCTGTAAGATCTGCAATAGTGGGTCAGGCCAAAGCCCTTTCTAACCCAGGATCCAAGAGATGCTTTCAGGAGGAATGAAAAAACCACACAGAGCCAGCTCAAAGGGTTTCACTCAGACAGCACCTAACCCAGCTCAAAGGGTCTCACTCAGACAGCACCTAACCCAAGTTCCATGAAGATCCTTTAGTGTCCTGGCTTGCAATTAATGCCAGTGCAGAGTCAGCCCAGTTGGTTTGTCTTCCCCACTCCCCAGAGCCTCTGGACTAGCTTAGGGGCAATTTAAATGACTCAGCTTGGTTGTTTTCCTCAGCAACAGCCCTTCTTGTCCCCTTGCCTGATCCCTTCTGAACCCAGGCATATCTGTGGGCTTGGCAGCTGCCTGTAGCAGCGAGGTCTGCAGCTTAATTATGCCCAACAGAGGGAATTATTTCCTTTGCTTCAGCCCTGACTGAGGTGTCAGTTGGGTTTTCCCTGTCTTTGAGTTGTGAGAATCACAACTGGCATTTCCCTGGCACCTCTCAGGATGGTAGTGAGGTCCATGGTGGCCCTTCCACCCCTCTCCTCCCTGCCCCTCCTTGGTTCCCCTTGTCTCTTCCCAGCTGAAAACTCCTTCTGGGTGTCATTTCTCCTAGTATGGAAGGCATTTGATGGTGTGGATGCTCCCTGTTGCCATTTTCTGTCTCTAATAGGTGCTTTCTAGGGTGGGAGGTCAACAACTGCAAACTAATGCACCAGGGACTTTATATATTGGCTTAATGATATTGTCTGCTTTGCTTTGAATTCTTTTCCTCTAATTTTATGCCATCCTGATGACTTTTCTGACTGCTTCAGAGCACTGAGCGTGTTGAACCTGTCACCATTCATTATGATTTTATTTGTTGCTGTTTAAAGCAGACAGAATGAACACACACTTACGTGGCATAAAATGATCAGGGTGACAGACCTGCATATTCAAACCAACACTAAATCTGCTTGTTTGTGCTTTGTTTAGAGAATGTTTCAAATTGTCTCCTCAAGTACGTGGAGGGAGATTTTTTTGGCCTGTGTCTGCAGTGATTGGATATGACCAAACCTGTCAAATGTTCTTCCTCTGAACCATGAACTTGCAAAATAAAACAGTCAGTTGGATGTACATGAATCCTAAAATTTGATTAGGGCCAGTGACACGAATAACCTTTGGATAAGACAGGTTGTGGTTAGTTATTTGGATTTTAGGTGGGAAAACTCCCAGTCTGAGGCTGCTGTGTGTCTAAAATAAAAGAAAATATATGAGCCTATGCAAGTAACATATACATGCTCATACTATCCAAGGAAAATTCAAACCAAGGCCTTGGATCTGCAAAGCAGAAGCAGTTTAAGCAGGTGAACTCCCCAGAAGCAGCCCTGGGGGTGTCAGCTCACACTACCTGTGGGATGGTTGTGGGTCATCCTTCCACACTCGATGCTCACTTCAATCAGTGCCTCCAGCCTCTCTGGCTTCCAGTACCTCATCCCTAAACACATGGCTTTGGTGGATGCTCCAAAGCCAGACCCTAAAAGAAACAGATAACACCAAAGATTGAGCAGGAGACTAATGATCCACCACTGTCTTAATAAAATGGGAAAGAAACACGTTTTGTTAATCCAACTCATTTTATGGGAGCTCCTCAGGGGATGGGACACCAACATGCAGAGTTATTTTGAAAGTTTCTTGCAAGGGATTTTAACTCTACACAGTCATTCTGGTTTCACAGGTATATTCCCATCTCCTGAAGTGGTCTCAGAGAGCAGCGTGCTCTCCTCTTCACAGCACTTGTTTGATTCACACTCTCCTGCCAGCTCTACTCATCCTTGGCTGGCACTGCTGTTTTGCTTGCTCCAGATGCCAGCATTAGAAACAGAAGTTTGAGAAGCAGATACCCTTCTACTGGGCCCTTATTTTAAGCCTTCATACTGCAAGCAGAGGATTAAAACCCTTCATATAAGTATCACGGCTGATCTCACCATTTTAATGCAGGTTTCATCCTAGAGAACTCCACAGGTAGTTTGCAAAAGAGTTTCTGCTACATAAAACAATAAAGTGCACAAAAAGAAACTATGAGCTGCAAGGCCAAGTCCTCCAAAGTCAGGCAAAGTCAGAACTGAGGTTTCCCCTCTGACCCAAAATTAGTGCCTGTGTGCACACTCATTATGGTGCAGCCTACACTGACCAAGATTGGTCTTGGGAATCTCACCCTCATGCAGCATGGAGCTGATTTATTCACTAGCTAATTTAGAATCTCTTTTCATCCTCAGCATTGAGTGCATGATCCCAGGTGTTTGACTTTAAACCCTTCATCCAATGGAGATTTAAATGTACTAATGAGTTTCCCTGCAGCACTTATCACAGCAATATCAGGATCCCACAGAAGTTTTAATGAGCTTATCTCCACGAGGCACCAGTGAGGTTATTATCTCCTCTTTGCAGCTGGTGAGCCAATGCCCCAAAAAGCATTAACTCCTTGCAGGCACCCACCATGGGAGGGATGGGATTCGATTTTTCAAAGCACTTGGCATTTTTCAGCACTGTCTTTGCTCAATCACACTCCCCAGTGACCTTCAGTATGGCTGAGAGCAACCAGCATTTCTCTATAGTCCCTGGAAGATAAGGGACATATTTATGCCACCTAATTTTAGCCTCTGTGGAACCTACATTAAAAGCACAGTCTCCCTGTCTTGCTCAGATAGACAGGGTGGAGAAAGCTCTGTCTGCATTAGCTGCTGGGACAGCCCAGGAAGAGCAATTTATGGGCCAGAGTGAGTTGAAGCAGCAGATGTCAAGGAGCCAGGGCCAGGGCTTTTAGTTACCTGTCTTGAGAAATTCCCTCAGCTGCTCCTCTGGGCTGTGCCTGCTGGAGGCAGAGCACCAGGAGCTCTCTCAGAGCACTGCTTGAAGCTTAGTGTCACCCCAAACATCTCCAGAGCAGGCACTGGAGGTGGCAGGAAGATTTGCTTCCAGCCAAGCTGCAGCTTGACCCAGGCTAACATAAGCCACCCGTTGGCATCTGCAGGTGCCATACAGACCAACTAGAACCTGAATTTCTTGAGAGGAGATCTCTCCCTCTCCCTGGAGAGCAGCTATCCTGAGTGGCCACCCTAGTTAGGTGATCTAATTAGGTTAGATGGAGATACCTTTGCCCTTCCTCCTCAGAGTGTAATGCCCAAACTTTGCACGCAATAACTCTTCCAAAAATAAGGTCAAACACCTGACAAAGGTGTTTGAAAGGCTGTGCAAAAGGCTTTGCAACAGATCATTTTATCACATGCAAGGTCAGAATTTGCTTCCTCACCCTTAACTAGCTTTCCTGATAACAGTGAAAAGGGACCTCTCCAGAATACCTTTGGCCACTGTTAGAATCATAGAATCCTTTAGGTTGGAAGGGACCTCCAAGATCATCAAGTCCAACCATTGAGCCATTAGGGCTCTAAAGTCCTCTGTTAAAACAGATCAGAATCTGTCAGGGCTGGAAGGGACCACAAGGATCACCCAGTTCCAACCCCTCTGCCATGAGCAGGGACACCTCCCACTAGATCAGGCTGCCCAGAGCCTCCTCCAGCCTGGCCTTAAAGACCCCCAGGGATGGGGCCTCAACCACCTCCCTGGGCAACCCATTCCAGGGTCTCCCCACTCTCCTGGGGAAGAACTTCTTCCTCACATCCAGCCTGAATCTGCCCACTGCCAGCTTTGCCCCATTCCCCCTAGTCCTGTTCTTGAAGGAAAGGCTGGGTACCTGAGCTGCAGGTGGAGTGTTTGCATCTGTCCCTCACATGTACAGCAGATGAGTGTCTTCTTCACTGTGCAGTCATGGTTCCTCCATGCTGCTGGTCCCAGAGGGAAGGGGTTTGTGCCACACAGAGCTGCTAGCTAAACATCTCTTAGTATATCCAAAGTGGAGGATGCATGAGGGTAAACTGACTGCTGGTGTGTTTGCTCATCTTGGCAAACTCATTGAGTTCCTCCAGTCTGGGAATTTATATTAAAACCTTGTGCAGAGTTAGACAAGCAAACTTGGTAGCAAAAAATTCCATCAGATGGAGAAACATTAAGCCTAGGCTGGGTTTCAGGTGATGGGCAGGTGTTAGCTTCCATGTCTCAGTATCTACCATGTGAATCCATGAAGTAAGGGACAGTGAGACCAGTCCAAGCAACAGATGAGGCACGTGTGTGAGAACATAAGGACTGTCCTCCACCATCAGATCAATGGCTGATCTAACTTATCATGTCTGACAGCCCCTAGCTCCTGTGCTGGAGGAGACAGTGAGTTTTCTCTGTCCCTAATCATGTTCTCCAGGTTATCTGTGACTTTAAGCTCTCTGTTGTACTCTCCTAGACATCACAGCCTATGGAAGCAGGTTTTTACTAATCCAACCATCCTTCCTCATATCATTCCTAGTTCTCATCCATTATTTTTGGGGGAGGGACCAGATGATATTCAGAAATCAAGAAACAGCAGCTACTGATTTATATAGTGGTGTAAATATGTTTTGTGTTTTATTCTCTCTTCTTTTCCCAGTTATTTCTGACAGACCCTTTGCTTTCTGGCTCTCACTGATGCAGCCTTGTTGTAGAACTATCGTAGCTCCAGGATCCCTTCCCAAAATGGTAACTGAACCAGCAATGGCAGCTCTGTGTGTGAAATTAGGATTCTCCCCCACTCCCCTGCACATGGCTTTTCACTGCCACGGTCACCCAGCACTGGGAGCATCTTCCACAACTCTGAATCAGATTATCTTTCACTTTGCTGACCTCCTGCTCTTCCTTTACTGTTTTTCAACCTGTTGTCTGTCCTCAGGAGAACCTTTCTGCCATGCTGTAGCTTCTTAGTGCCTCATCACTTAGTGCCTTTTTTAAGTGAGAGTTTTTTGGAAATCCTACCAGGCCATCTCCACAGTGTCTCCTTTTTCCTCCTGTTTCTTGGCTACTCCTGCATCCAAACCTTAAACAAACACTGACAGAAACACTGATACAAACCCTCAGTAGTGAAAATTGTAGCCTTGATCTTATCAATGTCATAAACTGGAAACAAACTTAATATAAAAGGTGTTAGACAGCCTTGGGCAGGTCTTCTGGTGGTCACCAGCCTTTAACATACCCTGAGTACCTCTGTAATGAGTGAGGCAATGAGGTGGCAGGGACACACAGAGAAGTTTGGCTTAAAAACTCAATGTGCTGACCATACACACAAGAATTTGAGCAGAGGATCATCATATAAGCAATGTAAAATTACCTAAGCTAAGCTTTCAATGGTCCATGAAGGGTGGCACATGAATTCTTCCTAGAGGTGAGATAAGAGGGAATGACCACAGGAAAACAGCATTTTGGTTCCAGCCCATCCAGGCATCCAACTTCTAGGCATCCAATGCCCATGGAATGGTTTTGCCTCAAGAAGAAATTTGTGAAATTCAATTTAAAAATGAATTATGTCCCTAGCAGTGTCAGGTGCCACTGAAGGCTGAAGATGTCCCTGGTTCTTTTCCTCTCAGGGTTCAAAAAAGGCTTCTGGAGATGTTCAGGATGGTGCTTGTCAGACCAAATGGTGAAGCTTTAGCTGCCAGACCTCAAGGCAGGAATTCATGTTAGATCCTTCTAGCCCAGAGCATCCCAAAAGCAAATAGTTTGTCATGGAAGGCTGAGGATGAGGAAGGCTAAAGGAAGAGGTGTAGTTCCAACACAACAATGGGCTGAGGAACAGCCATGTTCCACTGCTGGAGGTGCTGAGAGGTTTTCAGGGCCAGCAACATTTCCCACAGTTATTTTGACCAGATTTTACTCACTGCCAATCACAAAACACCCAACAACTGCCAAAGGGGCACTCTCCCAGATCTGCCTGGCTGGCAGTGGGGTGAGCAGAGTAAACAGGGAGGGATCCTTTTCCCTCCCAGCAGCTGTTGTCAGGAGCAGGGACTGAGTGAAGGATGCTTTTTGTGTCAGAGAAAAATGACTGCAGAGACCCAGAAATAGCCATGGCATTGTGCCACGGGGCCTTTGCCAGGAGGTTGCATCAATAGGCACAGCTCTTGAGCGGTGTCTGGACGTGGGGCAGTGGGAGAGAGAGCATCACACCACCACAGTGCCACCTCTGGGAGCTCCCAGCAGCCTGGAGCCACCTAGGTCTGCCTCCTCTGATGATCTGGTGTCTCTACAGGCAATGAATTTCAAAATTCATTGCACTGTATGCATCTCTGTGCACGTGTGTGCACCTTGCTGCCTGCACCTTATTTAACTCGAAGTAGAAATTCAGTTATTCATCCAATGAAATGATCATCAAGAGAAAGAAAGAGGGTTAGGAATTTTGGGGATTATTAGGGTTGTTAGCAGGGCATCCACCTGGAGAAAAGTCTGTTTTCCCTCCAGTGAATGCTCAGAGCAATTCACAAGCTTGGCTTTTTGCTTTGGATCTGACATCACTGGAAAGATCCAGGACCACAAAAAAAAGGCAGAAAATATTTCTTAAAATAACCATTCAACTCAAGGACAAAGATCTGGACCCCGAGGCACAAAGCCAAGAACAAAGTCTCTTTAAATAGAGGGAAGGGTTGGTTTAGGAGAGGACATAGTGCCCTCCAGAAGGAATCCCTGGCAGATGTCTTGCCATCCTCAGGCAAACAGGAAAACATTTCAGGGGTAGCAGCCTTCGATGGGGGGGGGGGGGAAGAGGAAACAATTCCCATGCAACCAGAAAGGCTGGAAGCATGGATTACTCCACCCAGGGCCTGCAGAGGGGAAGGGGCACCCTACCCTTTTCGTTGAAGGGGGTGTGCCAGGCAAGCAGGTAGTTGTCTGGTTTCAGCTCCCTGCAGCCCTCCAGGGTGGCGGGGTCCGGGCGCCTCCCTGGCAGCCTCTCCAAGGGGGTGTGCCAGGCGAGCAGGTAGTTGTCTGGTTTCAGCTCCCTGCAGCCCTCCAGGGTGGCGGGGTCCGGGCGCCTCCCTGGGAGCCTCTCCAGGGCGTCCACGTAGCGTCTCACCAGCTCCCGGTACAGGTCTTCCAGACACCAGTAATCTGCTCAGAAGAGAGGGAGAAGGATGCAGAAGAGCAAGAAAACAAACAAGCAAGCTTTTTACACGTTTAGGAAGTGTTATTTCCACTTGGGACACACTCAGTTGTGTTTTGGTGCGACTCTCGACACATTTTTACGCAGCATGGGGTGGAGTGAGAAGAGTCTCATCTGTTCTCTTCTTTTCCTGCTTTCCTTTCCACTTTTAATTCCTTTAATTGGGAAGATGAAGGCGTTCTGTTCATGCTGTCTAGCTGTAAGGTGAGTGTGCTGCTGCTGGGAGCTGGGGCTGGGGGTGCAGTGAAGCCAGCAGTGCCTGGCTCAGCCCGTGCCTTTGCACTCAGCAGCAGCTCCAAACCCAATTTCAAATGAAAACTCCACTTTTTAAATTACTACTGAACCATTAAAACAAGAAACACATGAGTAAACAGAAAAGCAAGATAGTAACCTGGTCTTTTAATCTGTATTTTATATGTATTTTGTCTGAAATTTGTAGGCCTTTCATACAGGGATTCAAATACCTTCTGTCAGCACAGTGAGCTTTGATGAAAACAATTATAAAGATCACTAAGAGTAATCCCTGCAGTCTGTACTATTTCCAGCAGATTAATTTCTTTCTGGAGTAAGTTCATTAACAATATCTGTTTATTGATTATTTTTCTATTATCCATTTAGATCTTTCCTATGTACTTAGAAAAAGCCTCTTTGGTACTTGGTTTGATGCACAAGTTGAATGACAGAGCAGGGAAAGTTCTAAAAATGTTTTCATTTTGACAAAGGTTGGTGGTAAAGATGTTTAGTTTGAGAGTTTGGAGCCCTGTAAGCCAGAGCCCCTCCAAAGGACCAGTTATGCAGAGAGGTGAACAGAGAAGATGCAGGGTGAACCCAAGATTCCCCTCCTTTCACCTAAAAAAATGCCTTACCAGTTACTCTGGCCATCCCACGTACAGTCCTAGAGGAACAAGACACTCTCAAGCTGCCAACTCTTTCCACATGTAGGAATCAGATATCAGCTTGCCTGGGTGGGAGCCAGGAGGAAGGTTTACAACCTGGCAGCTTCTGCAGAAGCCTTGTCCCCAGAGCCACAGAGAGTGGTCCAACACCTCTGCTCTGCCCAAGCCCACCACAGCTCCTGCACCCAGGCTGCTCTCTCAGCCAGCAGGCCAGCAGGACAGGTTCTTTCTGTAGGATGGAACCCTCATGGGCTTTTCCAACCCTGTTTAAGTCAGAGAGGTGAAGGCTTTCCCCACTGCAGGGACAGTTCCCCTGATTTGGAAGATGCTGTTCTTGATCCTCCCCTGGGGGACAGGTTCCTTCTGGATGCAGATGTTTCATTTATCCTTTGTTGTCAGACTGAGCTTTCAGTCTGTGCACGTGGAGGGTTTGGGGAGTGTCAGTTCAGTGTGGAGCCCCTGCTGCTTCTGACCACTGAGAAAACAATGTCATCTCTCTGGGCTTTTGCAAAGCATTTGACACTGTGCTGCATGACATCCTTGTCTCTAATCAGAGATCAGAGTCAAATGATGGCCCACTGGGTGGATGAGGAACTGGCTAGATAGATGTACTCAAACCTTTGCCATTGACAGCTTGATGTCCAAGCAGTGATGAGTGGAATTCCTCAGGGAACAGAACCAGGGCTCTTTAACATCTTTGTTGGTGACACAGACAGTGGGATTGAGTGCAATCAGCAAGTCTGCAGATGGCACCAAGCTGTGGGATGAGGTTGACATGCTGGAGGGAAGAGATGCCATCCAGAGGGACCTGGACAGGCTGGAGAGGTGGGCCCAGATTGACCTCATGAAGTCCAACAAGACTAAGTGCAACTGGGTCCTGCACCTGGGTTGGAGCAATCTCCAGCACAACTATAGATGAACGGATTGAGATCAGCCCTGAGGAGGACTTGGGGGGTACTGCTGGGTGAAAATTGAGTATGAGCCAACAATGTGCATTCACAGACCAGCAAACCAACTGCATCCTGGGCTGCATCAGGAGAAGTGTGGCCAGCAGGTGGAGGGAGGTGATTCTCCCCCTCTACTCTGCTCTGGTGAGACCCCACCTGGGGCTCACAGGATAAGAGAGACATGGACCTGTTGGAGTGAGTCCAGGCCCTGAAGATGATCAGGGGTCTGGAGAACCTCCCCTGTGAGGACAGGCTGAGAGAGTTGGGGTTGTTCAGCCTGGAGAAGAGAAGGCTCCAGGGAAACCTTACTGGAGAAGGCTCCAGGGAGACCTTACTGCAGCCTTTCAGTGCTTAAAGGGGGCCTACAGGAAAGATGGGAAGGGAATCTATTAGGGAGAGTGGTGGTAGGATGATGGGTAATGATTTTAAAGGATAGATTTAGATTAGGTATGAGGAAGAATTCTTTACTGTGAGGGTGATGGGACACTGGGAACAGGTGCCCAGGGAAGTTTTGGTCCGTCCCCCTATCACTGGAAGTGTTCAAGATCAGGTTGGATGGGGCTCTGAGCAGCCTGATCAGAGTGGAAGTGGAAGGGCCCGCCCCTTCAGAGTGGAAGTGGAAGGTCCTGCCCATGGCAGGGAGGTTGGACTAGATGACCCTCAAAGGTCACTTCCATCCCAAACCCTTCTAGGACTCTGTAATGATTCCATCACCCTTCTGGGATGTCCTCCATGCAGCAGAACCTGTGGGGAGCAAGGCAGTGAGGGACAGGACCAATCTTAGTGCTTATCCCCCTTCTTATCTTTTTTTTAATTCTTTTCTGTTAATGTTCCAGGAACCAAACAAATTCTTTAAAATCTCAGCCTACACAGAAGCAAGAGCTCCCTGCTACATGAGAAGAGCAGATCCCTGGGGCCAGTGGCAGCTGCCTTCAGCCTCTCAGACCCACGTTCACCACCTTGAGCTTCCTCCTGTTGACTGGGGTGATGAGCAAGCCCAGCAGCTCTTCTTGTGTTCCCCTGGCCAGGAGGAGACTGCTGTGGGGCAGGAGTGGTTCTCTTTTCTTTGTGGGAAATGGAGAGGAGGAATTGCTTCCCCTGGCTCAGCAGTGTTACTAGGGAATAAAGTTTTCTTACTAAAATTCCACACTCCAGCTCGTTGCTTTCTAACCAGCCCACAAAAGCACATTTGTAAGAAGCTTGTCTGATGAGGCCAAAGAAAGGAGAGTGTAGGAGAAACAAAGCTGATGGGAATCACAGCTGAGACTTTATTTCTTTAGAGCCACCGTGCTCCTGCTCTATTTAAGAAATAAGATTTATTAGTTTAGTGTTATTCTGAGCAGCTTGATTACCCAGAAGTTATGGTTTTAGAGAGTCCAATAAGCAAGAAACATATGATATGCATTTAATCATAGCCTATATTCAGAAATATGTTAGTCATCTTTTTTCTTGACAGACTGACATCTTGCCCTTATCTTTAGTGTATTAGCTACCCCTTAAACCATTGGTTAGCTCAGAGCCAAGTATGAAGTGTCCAACACACTCTTCAACTGATCTCCACCTACTAAATTTAGAGCAGGTTGGAAGCAGGCAGATAAAGCACTGAAACAGCAGCACAAGGGAAATTTCATTGACATGAAGGAGACTTGGCTACCTTGGGAGCTTCTGCTACCCAGCCTTGGGCTTTTTAAGAAAAATGAGGAATATTTTTGCAGAGATTAAAGAAAAAGAACCTGATTCATTCTGAAGAGGCAAAACACTGCTGAATGCTCAGTCTTCCAGTGTACTTTTGGTGATGATAATCTCAGGAAGCTCTAGTTTGAGGTGTAACTACCAATACAAATATTGTTGTCTGTCACAAAAGGCTATTCCTAAGTTAAGAAAAGCCAAATGTTCTCTCTCAAAATATTGTGATTTTAGAAGCCATAGATCAATAACTTTCACTATTCTGATAGGTTTTATAATAAAACACAGCATGCTACAATATTTTTTGGACCAAAGACACTGATTTTTCCTCATAATGCAAGTTGTTCTTTTAATAGCCTTGCAGGTGCAACCTTTTGCCCACGGGGCAGTAAGGAGGAGGCAGCACTACTGATTTTTAGCCTGAAAGAGGTATGAAGGTGACTCTCCTCCAGCCTGGAGTTTTGGGCACAAATATGTTACAAAGGCACTTAGAAGAGCCCTTATCTTTGGCAGAATAATCTCTAGTGGCTATATTATTCCCTGACGTATTCCAGCACACAGATAATTTACTGAGCAATTATTTTTGTCATGCTGGGCATGTGGTGTTTTAGTGGTTAAGTTTTACCCAAGTGTACAAACCTAGGGAAAACACAGGGACAGCCCCTCCACGCTCCAGAAATCAAAGCTCCTCAGTCTGTGTGGTGGTCAGAGGATCGTCCCCATGGAGGAGGAGAAGGCAATGCACATTCTCACTATTCTCACTCCCCCAGGGAGCATTTCTGATGGGCTCTCTCACAGCTTCCCCAGCACTCAGGCTTCACTCTAGGAGCTGCAGCAGCTCAACCCTTCTGTTCCTTGCCACACGGTCCCGTTGTACCTACCTGTGATGACAGCCTCTGCTGTAGCCATGTGCATGAGCGTGTTGTCACTTACTGGCCACTTGTCTGGGGACAGCACCAGGTTCTCAAGCCCTCCAATTTCCTTCAGCTCCTGCTGGATCTTTGCACCCAAGGCGTTATTCTCCCGGGAGAAGTTGCGGTACCCCAGAGCATCCCCCACCCCAGCCAGCACGAGTGCAGCCTTAAATTTATCCATCCTTGAGACACTGGCTGCTTCCCTCTTGTCCAAGCCAGCCCCCGAATCTTGATCTTCCTTTGTTCCTTTGCCTCTGGCTCAGCTCCCCCGCCACTTTATATCGGCCATTGTGTCACACCGAGGGCACTCTCTATAAGGCAAGGATTTCCTTTTCTGGCTCTGCAGAGGCCATCTCTTGTCCCAGACCTGATGGAGAGGAAATATTTCATAACCCAGGGATTTTCCTGGGGCTTTGTCCCATGAAATCACGAGAGGGGACCTGTGAAGTGAAGAGCAAAAGCCTCGTCCCTGCGAGCCGGCGTGCAGCAAGCCAGAAAGTGCTTAGCCCTCCCCAGTGTAAGTAACTCTACACCCAGAAAAACAGATGGCTCCACAGGGTGTTTATTTATTTAATAACTTGTAAATTAATCTATTTTCCTGCCTGTTTCTGAAAGGCTGGAGTCAGGCTCCCTTTCAGGGACCAGTCAGAAGGGAAGCCTGGGATAAAGGGAGTTGCCAAACTCCGTAAAAACCAGAAGGAGGAGTTAGGCAGCAAGAAATCTAATCAAATGCAGACTACCTCTCCCACTTCTAATCATACCCTATGGTGATGTTTTGTCAATAACTTTCTTGCTCTGTTCCACCTATTACAAAAATTGTTTTGCTGATTGACTGCACCCCTGGATAAGAACTGAGTAAAACACCAACTCCAGTCCCCTGCCTCTTACTCCCTGGCAAAGAGTGACTTCTTCCTCAGGCCAAGCTCAGGTGCAGCCCACATTTGGACTCTGGAAGGACCCAAACTATTTTGAAATATATATTTAAATGGCATCCTGTGACTCTGAGAAAGTTCATGCACAAGCAAGACTGATTTTCATCCTTTCAAAATTGATAATTGTGCAATTATGTGCTTCATTCTGTTATTGTAGTTTTATTCACTGCTTCTGGCATGCAGCAGAAGAAGGGGCTTTGTCTTGCAGCCTTTTAAACGTATTTTGCCCCCAAAATTGTCTATTGTGCAAGCTCAAAATCTTCCTCCAAGGGGTCTGGTGAGACTGACTCAGATCCTGGTTCTGAATCACCATCCACGCTCTCCTAAGACTCACCAATTACTGCTACCTTACAGATAGAAATAAAAATGTACTTAGGTAGATAAACAGAAAGCTGTGGTTGGCTTGACTGTAATTTTGATGAAGGATACCTGTGGAGAAGTCTTTGTTTTTCTTTGATCTTTTTCAGAAGGTAGATTGCTGTTGAGATGGGAAAGGTCTGGAGTGTAAAGGGAGCATCCTCCTATCACCCACAGCAACAAGCATTTAATCATGGACTGAGTTATTGATGTGTAGAAACACCAGTGGACTCCAGAAGCCTTACTGCAGTTCCAGAGCACAGAAAAGCATCTCCATCCTTATGCTACATCAGAAGAGACAAGGCACCAAGGTGGTGAAAGAGCCTCTAAGAACACACTCCTGTTTTCCAGATCAGCACTTGGGTAACAGAAATACTGAGTGTTAAAAGGAGGACACTGAGAGTGTGTCTTCCTTGCTAGGAACAACTCTGCACTGAAAGAGAAACTCACCATGGAATCATAGAATATCTGGGCTGGAAGGGAGCTCCCAAGGTCATCTAGTCCAACTCCACACCATAAGCAGGGACATCTCCAACTAGATCAAGCTGCTCATCTAAGACCAAGACAACCAAGACCAAGGCAGCTTACAGAAATGACACTGGGCAGAAGCACTGATGTTGGTGCCTCTGCTACAGGTCCATGCACCCCTCTGTGGCACCCACCTCTTCTCCACTCTCATGTAACATTACAATTTGGAAGCACTTATGATTTTGGAATTTGAACTTGCTAAGAGAGGATGGGAGAGAGCACCTGCTGAGGCACCACGAGGAACCAGAAGGGCCTCGATCAGATGGAAGGTTCCTTCCTGAGAAGGGGCAAAGCTATTCTTAGTTTTCCATTTCTCTCTTCCTTCCCAGCACCACCCTTTTGCCTCCCGTGAACCTGACCCTGTTGCATGCACACTTGGCTGCTCAGAACTCAGCCCATATTAGGAATAAAACCTTTGACTGTGAAATAAGGCTGTAATGAAAACACAGCTAAACTTCCAGAGAAGTTCTGCTTTTCAACTCTGCAAAACAGAACACACAACAAAGGATTTAGTCTTTATTTAATTGGTTAATTGCACACAAGCTCCATTTCGTGTGGTACTTCCAGCCACGATGAGCTTTCAGGGCAGAGGTATGTTAGGCACAGTGAGATCTACCCCTAATCCCCCCAAAAGGAGACAATTGTCAAATATCATACTTGAATGTCTTAAACACAGCCAAAATACAATAGCTCCATTAAGATAGATATACATACAAACATATTCACAAGAGAACAAAAAAAGTAGAGCTTGCATTTGGTAAATGTATCAGAAAAATGCAGCCTTGGTGTCCTCTCAGTGTCCATGACTGATTTCAGCTGGGGAGAATCCAGCAAAAGAGGAATTGGAAGGCAGGACAGAAAATACTTGTTTGTGTTGGTGGCAACAGGCTGTTGTTTCAGCTCGACTGCATTTGAAACCCTACCTGAGAACATGAAAGTGCCTTCAGCAAATGGGGCTCCACCTGAGAGGATGCAAACCCAGCACCCAGGAGAAGGCTCTTGGAGTAGGCAGGTGCTGGCATCTTTCAGGATGAACTGGCCAGTGGAGCATGGGCTGAAACTGCTCTGTCAACACAACCCCTTTAGCACTGTGAGTTTAAAGAAGATGACTACACCCCAAGTACTTGACCCATGTGTGAGTGATGCTTCTGCCATCCAAAGAGACCCAGAAGAGAACTGCTCCTGATTCTATGTTCACCCATCCAAAGGAAATGGAAAAGACACTGGAAATGTAGGGCTGCCCACCAAGGGGGTGTCAGACGTGTCAAGAGCTGCATCTTTCCTACCACTTCAGTAAAGGGTTTCACTTTGGCAACAGGATCATGCCTCTAGGAACAATAAGATAGTGTTCTATAATTCCTGAGAGTCAGGAAAAAATTGACTGGTTTTAATCAATTCTTTAATTGAGTGGGGATGAAGAATTTCCATACTGCTTTACACCACCACCTTAAAGGAAATGTATGATTTAAACACTGCAGCATGGACTTCTTGCTTCTTTATCCTCTTGACAGAAGCCCATGTCTTCCCATGAAGCCTGTAGAGTCTGCTCCAGGACAGAGCTTTCACTGCTTATAAAAGAGGCACAAGAGAAAACACATGGGAATCTGTCAACTCTACACACCAGCAGGATGAAGTACCCCAATAATTATATTAAATCAAAATCTCAATGCCTTTATGCTTCCTCAGGTCCTTCTCATGAAGAACATTGTCCCCATTTGTCTGAAATACAGAAACTCCTGCATGTGGAGAGGTAGCTGCAGCTGCAGCCCCCTCTGCCAACAGCTCTATCAAAAAAGCCCCTTTCAGAGGCACGTTCTCCTTACCCAGTTCTGCTGTATGGAGTGGAAAGCTCAGAGAACGTGTTTTGTTGAATTCCTTTTTTCTCAAAGTTCTCATGGTTGTAAAAGATGGCACTTTCTCCCTTTCAGAAGCCTTGTGCTGGCATCTGCACCAGCAGTTTCACTGCTTCAGGAGAAGGAAGAGAGACTCATGTGGCACCAGAGCAGCCAGTGGTTGCTGAAACCAGTGTGGAGGGATGCCAGCTGGGACAGCACAGAGGACAACTTATTCATTCTGATTTCAACCCTCAGAAGAGAATTAAGGACAGTTGAATACATACCTCTGAAGGTCTCTGCAGAGACTCCTGAGTGTGCTGCTCCTCCTGCAGAGCTCAGAGCCTAGGACTGAGCAAAACCTCTGCAATTACAGTACAAACTAATGACAGCTTGGTCACTAGCAGGTATGTGCAGTGGGTGCAGCACTGCAGCTAAACAGAGAGCTGCAATAAAAGCTTCAAGGTGGCACAAGTGAACAAAACAGACATTACAGCTGCTCAAAAATTGAGTTATGTCCTTCCCCCCTTCTGACTGATGGAATAATTGTGCAAGAATCTAATGAATTAACCAGAAGACAAGAAAAAAACACTGGCCACTGTGAGGCTGACAAAATCCAGTACAAACTATGGTTTGTACTGTAATTGCACATACTACAGGTATGTGCAGTGGATGCAGCACTGCAGCTAAACAGAGAGCTGCAATAAAAGCTTCAAGGTGGCACAAGTGAACAAAACAGACATTACAGCTGCTCAGAAATTGAGGTATGTCCTTCCCCTCTTCTGACTGATGGAATAATTGTGCAAGAATCTAATGAATTAACCAGAACACAAGAAAAAAAACACTGGCCACTGTGAGGCTGACAAAATCCAGACACCTCACACGACTGACTCAAATCCTTTGACAGTCCATTTATTCCTGTTTCCACTGCCACAATATCTACACACATACAGCTTACTCAGCAGCCAGTCTCTCAGGTACATTGGATGAGCAGATGCCTGCAGGTTTGCTCTCCTTGACATGACATACACAACAAATCACATTTAAATTTAGAATTGGCAAGTACAAGTCTTGTGGCTCAGTTTCAAAAGCTCTAGGATGTAAAACCAAACAGCTTGGCACTAAGTTGAAAAGCACACACAGCATGTCTAGGAACTGATACTGTAGGCACTGAACAACTTGAAGACATCTGTACCATTTATGATTATAAATTGATCAGTCTAGGTGTCAGCACTGTATCAGCTTACCTAAAAAGCAAGGCAGAGGGCCCTGAAGAGTGGATCTGGGGACAGCAGCAAATTCTTAAAATATATAAGGAACTCATCACTTGAAAGCAGTTAATTTGCATTTATTTTTAATATCATTCAAGGTGTTACTCCATGAAGTTATCTAAGGGCATGTAAAGTGTATATGTGGTTTCAGATGTGTAGAAGGCTAAGAAGAACAAAAGAAAAAGCATACTATGCCTAGGAAACTGATTGGTAAGGAGCAACTCCTAACTTGAGAGTACTTCACCCAGCCTTCTTCTGTTAGAAAGTACCTTCCATGAAGGATTCTCACAGGAATGAGGATTAAGAGTAAGTGCACATATATATGGAAACAATACTGTGCTAAACACCTTCCTTCTTCCTCAGATTAACACTGAAAAAACCCTCAACTCACATGCTCTATTTTAAAAGGTAGAAAGTTCATCAGGCTGATTCTGAAGGAGTTCTCAGCATGAACAAGTTTCACAAGCTCTAGTATGAAACTATTTAGTTACATCAAGACCAATAGCTAAAGCTACTGCTGGTCAGTTATATTATAGCTATATATTTGAAGTGGCAACTGTGTGAATAACAAGCATTCCACTGCTTTTGGCTGGATAAACACATTTGATGTTATGAGTTGTTACACGTTCTCCAAAGCCAACAGGCTGCCAACAGCAGCTATAAAAATGGCTTGTTTGGGGGAGACAGAGTAGGCAAATCAAATGCATTTAAAAAGGTCATAATACTGCTTCTAAACCTCTGCTGAACTCTGTAGAATACCTGGACTTATGTACACAAATGCCCTCCTGAAAAGATGTAGTCAGAAGGTGATAGTTTGACTTAATGTTACTCCCTGAAGCCTGGAGAGCAGAGGGAGGCAGCTGAGGACTGGGACACTGACACCTAGTGGCTTCCAAGCAAGGGCTTAACCTTTACAAACAGCTGCCTTTGGGTGAAAAAAACTACAAATAAATCACTTATGAGGGATTTGTAACTCACCTGCTGTATTACTAACAGAAAATACTGTTTAAATTCCTCCTAATATTGCTTTTTAAACACCATGCACAGCTGGAATTCTCTCAAGCAGAGGATTGAAGGGGATCTTTCTGTTTGCAGCACAAGCATTTGCTCTTTAGGCTCCACTGATGTAAATGAAAGCTGACTGCTGATGTGCAACTCTAAATATTAGAGTTTAAGAGAATATTGTAAGCTTTCACACCCTCACAACTACTAAATAAAATAGCACTGTCATGCAAGAGTTAAATGACCTGGTATGATCCAAGCAGATATCATTTATACAGATTCACACAACTATTTTTCTCTGAACCTCTCACACCTAATTCAGCACTCATTACAGAAAATCTGTTAATTGTAGCTGGACATCCCCTTCCAGAAATCTTTCACAAACTTTTACAGGGGCTCTGAAACTCATTCTGATGAGGTAGCATTTAAAAGAGCCCTGGGTGAAGTCATGTTGAAGAGTTTCTGGCAAAACTTTTTTGTGCTTAGGCATAGGAAGACACTGTTGAGAAAGGAGACACACCCCTATACCCTGGATAATTGTGGCTGCTGAAAGGGGAGAAACAAATGCCTGAACAAACTCAGATTTGGTGAAAACCAGTCCAATTCCAGTATCAATGATACTGCATTAATTGACCCTTTTTTTTTTTCTTAAATGAAACAAAATGCACAATACATTCAGAAGCATGAATGCTTATCATTAATATAAAGTCTCCTTACTCCTCTAAAGTGGAAGACAATTAAGTCTTTGAGATTATTCTTTTTTTTCCCCTCTCTGAGTAGTGCCAGGAATTGCATTCATAATTTAGCTACAATTTATGATATGTTTCAGGCTACAGATAAAACTAAAAAGTAATATTCTACCATTATTCATTATTTAAATAAACAAAACAATTGAAGGCTAACTGAATTGTGATGCCCAAACATGAATTATAACAGCATCTTTGGTTGTTTAATGCTTACTTTGAAATGGTTAATAAAAAAAAATCCCCTGGAGCTGCAACACTGCACAGAGCAGTGGCCCTTCCTCAGCAATGCTCTTACATGTCCAAGCACTTCCAGAATAATGAGGAAGTTCATCTCACTGGGAGAAAACAAAAGGCTGGATGTAATGAATCTATACATCTAAGACTTAAGAACATCAATTTAAAATTTTGGCAGCAAGTAAAAAAAAGTGTGTTTTGTTTGTTTTGTTACAATTCTCTATTAGGACAGAGCCACAGAACTAACTTGTATAAAAATACAACATACTGCATATGTTTTATTTAGGGATTTAATTTATATACCACAAATACTGCTTTTAATATAAGTACAATATAATACAGTTTTATTTATGTAACTGCTGGTGTTCACTTTGGATCATGAACTGAATGGCATGCTGTGCTGTCAAAACTTTAATAAAATGGCCTCTAGTTAAACTTCTCCAAAGTATAAAATCATGCAAAAATCTACATCCTATATGATACAACCAGTAGAATAATTGAAGCCAGTAGCCTAGGAACAGCCTGGACTATCTTCTGAGTTGGTTCTGGAAGCATCCACAAGTGAGTCACTGCTTTCTTTAGGCAGAAAAGGAAGAGTTTTCAGTTTTGTCTCCAGAATCTCATCAGGACTGCTGAAAACAGCAACAACGTGCAGAGTTATCAGTCAGGAACTCTTCATTACCTAATGGAGTTCAGTCCACACTGCCACATCTGGGGTTAGGAAGTTTTACGTTTCCCTCCCGTGACTACTGGTCGTGCATATTCCACAAAATCATCTATTAGAACAGGCCACGCTCCTAAAAGGAAGAAATTCAGAAATTAAGGTGTTGTTATCAACAATAAATCCAGGCAGTCTCTAAACTCAAAGGATCTGAAGCTCACTTTGACTTATCTGGCCTGGTCTAGCTTTAGCAAGTGTGACTATCATGATAAAACACTTGAAGAGCATCTAATAAATTAAACCTTTGAATCTTTCCTTCCAGCAGTAGTTCTTAGTACAAACAAAATGTATTGAAGACAAAAATCCACACTAAAAAAATGTCTAAAAACATTAGTGGATAGCACACCTACAGCATTCCTGTTAGAGCCACTCATCACTTACAAGCATGAGGACCAACCAAGAGGAGTTAGATGTGCACAGTCCTAGAGGGCTTCACTAAGATGGGGTGGGATGGCTCCTATGGCTGCAGTGTGGCAACAGAGGGAGACAAGATCTTTAGGAAAGGAGAAGAGGGAGGTGTTGCCCTCTACATCAGTGATCAGCTGGAGTCCATGGAGCTGGGCCTGGGGATGGAGGAGGAGCTGACTGAGAGGGAAGGCAATATCACAGAAGGCTCTGGAAAGACCTTATTGCAGCCTTCCAGTATCTGAAGGGGGCCTACAAGAAAGCTGGGGAGAGACTTTTACAAGGGTTTGTAGTGATAGGATATGGAGTAATATCATAATAATAAGCTTCAGACTGGAGGAGGACAGATTTAGATTAGATGTAAGGAAGAAGTTCTTCACTATGAGAGTGGTGAGACACTGGAACAGGTTGCCCAGCAAAGCTGTATATGCTCCATCACTGGAGGTGTTCAAGACCAGGCTGGATGGGGCTTTGAGCAACCTGCTCTAGTGGGAGTCTGCCCATGCCAGGTGAGTTGGGACTAGATGATCTTGAAGGTCCCTTCCAACCCAAACCATTCTATGACTTCTGTAAACAGTCATTCCAAAACAGAATTTACAGGATTAGTAACAGTGTATAAATTGCTTTTAAATTTAGTAAAACCAAAAAAATCCATGCAGACATTTTTCTGGCAAGTAGAAAAATTATCTATTTCCTTGCAGTTAGCAACACTTTTGTATAAAAAAAGTTTCAGTGAGACTCTTACAGTGTAACAGGTTCAAACAGCATGTGCTAGATCATGGTGTCACCTTACTTCAGTTTACATATTGCAGCAAACTAGTTGGCCTTCTTAGCATGACTGTTTTGGCAACAAGTATGACACCATTTGGAGCTAAACCTCTAAGGGTAAACAAATTAAGACAACAGGTAGCAGCACGTTCTGATGGTTGATTATAGC